GGTCCAGACCCTCGGTGAGGACAGGAGGAGCTGTGGTGCTCTCACCTGGGCTCAGAAAGACCCGCCCTGCTCTGCTCTGATTGGATAAAACTGACTATTGCTCACATTATTTGTTGAAAGCCACGTCAGTTTACTGTAATCCTGAGTTATCCACCGCAACAAATATAAGTTTTTTTTTATGTTATTATTATGTTTACAGACAATGAAAATCAGGCATGTGAATAAAGAACTTCAATCAACAAAAAAACATTCCAGGACTTTCAAGGACAAGTGTAGTTTTTGGCGAAATTTCCAGGACCTTGAAATCATTTTTCAAATTCACAAACTTTCAAGGATTTCAAGGACTCGTGGGAACCCTGTAAGTGCTAAAAGTATTGAGTAAAAATGAGCAGTTAGATTTTCCAAAATGACATTTATTGGGAGGTGACTTCTCCAAAAATATATTTTCTAACAGCGTGCAGCTGTGATGGGTTGTGTACAAGCTAATAGTGTGTCAGAATGGTATATATTTATACTTCTCATCCAAACACAATTACATTCACTCTATCCAGGAGACACAGTTTATCAGGATAGGATTATTTAAGTAACAACAACTTGGAATAAAATAGGAGTAACGACTTTTTACTTCTTACCTTTTTTAAAAATGTAGTGAGTAGAAAGTACAGACAATTGTGTAAAAATGTTATGAGTAAAAGTAAAAAGTACGCTGAAAAATAATTACTCAAGCAAAGTACAGATAACCAAAATTTCTACTTAAGTACAGTAACTTTACAACTTTACTCTACAGCCTCAAAACGAGTCGATCTGAGACAGGATCAGAAAAGGGGCGGGGCTTGTGGAGTTACAATAAGGAGGAATTCAGAGCAAAGCATCGCAGTTCCACTTTATACAGACCCCAGCTGAAGGATTTAAAAGCATCATATGTCTACTTTAAAGTTCAAAAATGCTGCTCYTCATTTCTTTAACACTGGCAGACATGTGGTGCTGCGCTAACACCATCCGTCATCAGAAACGACAGCTGCCGTCCTAATTTTATCTCTTTTATTTTACTGGCTAACGTCACACTGCTGCACATTTTAAATGTGTGAAGAAGGAAAAGTCAGGTCTTAAACTTGTCTAATTTTGATGTTTAAACCTGACGTCTGAGACACAATGAGTTTGGAACTTCAGGTGTGTGTGTGTGTGTGTGTGTGTGTGTGTGTGTGTGTGTGTGTGTGTGTGTGTGTGTTCCTGTGCCTGACCTGGTAGATCTCATACTTGAAGCCCAGGATCTTGGCGAGGGCGTCCAGGACGTCGATGGAGAATCCTTTATACCTCTTAGGCTGCCCGAGGATGTTCTCTGCCACCATGACGAAGGGATCCTCCTGTGGGGAGGCAGACGGGGGAACGAGGGGGAGTTACCGAGGATCAAAGCCTCGGCGCCGACCAACTCTCCCCGGCGCTTCGACACACTGGGAGTTAAATGACATGTTTTCATCATGACGCGAGCGTTAAACAGGAGAAACAACAGCCCTCCTTCGTTTTCATCTGGGCCCTCGAGGCAGAGGAGAGCAGAGAATCTGAGGCTGTGTGTGTCTCTGTGTTTGTGTGTGTCTCCGTGTTTGTGTGTATCTTGGTGTTTGTGTGTATCTTGGTGTTTGTGTTGCTCCCTGGCAGCTCTGACACCTGGAAGTGTTGCAGCAGGCGATGAACCGCAGACTGGAGGTATTAGTCCTGCTTGGTTAGACCTGTGTGTCTGCGCCGCTCTGGCAGCAGAAGAAGAACTGGGCTCTGGAGCAGACAGATGCTGTTCTGGGATCACAGACTGTTTGAATCTCTTAAACTAATCCAACGAAGGCAGGAGCTGCTTAAAGCCAAAGTGTTGGATTACTGCCTTAAAAGAAACGGAGTTCAGGTGGAACTCTGATTGATGAGAAAATAAACTGCTCAGAACGTTTATATTAACCTCAGAAACTTAAAGGATCCAGGATTAGTTGTAACATTAGACTTTATTTGATAAACATATATTTTAACTGTAAAATAAAGACTGTAATAATTCTGTAGGATGTTTACTTTTTATCATTTTTAAACTAAAATTTTAAAAATATATTACACGGACAGGGCCATTTTATTTCCACACAAAGCATTCTGGGTAAATGATGACGTGGATAGGTCCTCGGTGCGAGGCTGCTAGCGAGCTATATCCACCCTGAAGGTTAATCTTGGACAATATCTGATGATCGACTCCGCTGACAGTTAGGTTTCACTTTCACTTTCACCCGAGAGCCTGCAGGAGTCATGGGCGGGGTG